ATCTTTGTCACCTCTCTCAGGCTCTCCTCACAGGAGAGGTACTCCACCCCTTCGTAGGTGGACTCGCTCCAGTAGCTCCATGCCCCTCTGCTACTGGGGAGCCCAGAACTGGACACAACACTCCAGTCCTGAGCAGAGGGGCAGGATCACCTCCCTCGGCCTGCTGGCAACAGTCCTTCTAATGGAGTCCAGCATACCATTGGCCTTTTTTCCTACAAGAGCACATTGCTGGCTCCTGGTCACTTTGCTGTCTGCCAGAACACCAATGCCCTTCTCAGCAGAGCTGCTTTCCAGCTGGGTGGCCCCCAGCATGTACTGACACTTGGGGTTGTTCCTCCCTAGGTGTAGGACTTGGCATTTTCCTGTGTTCAAGAGGCAACATTTGCATACAATTCCCCAGGATTTTACTAATATGAACACGGGATATACTTCTGTTATAATGCAAGAGTATTTTTCGTGTGCTGTTGTCATCAGCAAAGTGCCATTTCCTCTGGCTATAACCTGAATCATATGTTGGGCTGGAACTATTTTTGCTTCTCCCAAGCCTGCATTTGGCTTTGAGTAGCTCATCCTCATTGTGAATGCAAACAGCACACCCCCCTGAATCGGCAGTAGCTGCCTTGCTGATAGGGTGGTAAATAGTATCACTATACCCCCAAAAGGAGTAGAAAAACAAAACAGGGAGATTAGCAGGCAGCTGCTGGAGGAGTGGCAATGATGGGGCGGAAGGAGGACACTCCCAAGGCAAATATCCTTCTTCATCATGGTTCAAACCAAAATAAACCAAGCTAAAATTAGAGAGGGCTAAGGGGATCGTCACCACATATAACATGTGAGTCAGATCCTACTGAAGAACGGGACAGGTGGTGCAGCACATCGGACAAAAGGCTGTTCACCTTGAGCTGAGAGGAGCTGTGAGGGCTCTTCTAGGCTCCAGAGGAGCTTCTTCCCCAAAGTCTTGAAAGAATCCCTGTTCTTCATGCCACAATGCAGCATGGGCTGGGAGGGACCGCGGTTTCCAGATCTATGCACATTTTTCCCCTGTAAGCTGCTCTCTCCAGTTCCCAAAGAGGTTCTAGAAACAAAACAATATTAAACCTCCACTCTGTCCTTTTTACTTGCTACCTGGCCATATGAACACAGTGGTCTCCGTTCCTCTCCTCCATGCTGCTGGCTTTTCTGGAGGCTCCCAGCCACCAAGCAGTTGGCAGAGCCCAATTAGACGGAAAGGCCACTGCTAACAGCAGGGAGTTGCACCCAGCCTGGTGTGGTGACTGTAATGGACCCAAGATACCTTTGCTTCCTTCTCTTTAATATTTTGCATGTGCATATGCATTTTGTGAGAATACATTCCTAGAAATAAGTACCAAGGTGCCATCAAACTCATCATTAGCTTCTGGATTAAAATTTAACATTATTCAAAAGATTCTGCAAACATTTAATGACTCACTGCTGAGGTAAGCTTGCATTATTCTATGAAAAGGGGGAGATCAGGACAGACAAATATATGTGATGGAGACTGTCCTCACAAGCTGGGGACCATCCTTGCCCAAAGGTCTAAAGAAAATTGTGCAGGTGCTGTGTTGCTCAGGGCATTTCATGTCGATGTATCAGGGCATGTTAACAGACCCTCTCTGGGTTTGGCTCAGGGCACCTATGGGCAGTCGCTGCTGGTGGGCTTACGTGGAAAAGGAGCAAGCTCTGCCACAGACACTCTGGAGACCAACTGGTACAACCCAATTCCTTCTAGGATTAATTTCATCATTTGATTTCATTACATGGTTGATGAATTTACTGACTGGATAATCTGAACCCACTGATTTATAGATTCTGGCTTAATTATAACCTTAATGTTATCATTGCATTGCCCCTTTTTTAATTAGTTCAATAAGACTGAAGTAATAAGCCCAACAGTCTGGTCTATGTGTTTATTTTCCTGTTTGTACTTAGAAAGAAAAATGCAGAAAAAAATGTGTGTTAATAGATATTTAGAATCATGAACACTGGGAAGCAAAATCATAGCAGATGCTAGATTTTTTTTTTTCCCCTAAGTAACTCACAGAAGGCAGAAAATAGTGTCTCTCCCACACAGATGCACTACACTGACTAAAGGATCAAAGGACAGATTATTAACAAACCACTACAACTTTGCACCTTCTCAAAGTGTCACTAATTTTCCAGGGTTATGAAAAAAAGAAAAAGAAGAAAAAAAAAGAAAAAAAAAAAGAAAAAAGAAAAAAGAGAGAAAGGCGAGGAAGAATCATCAGCAGAAAATATTCTCATGCAAATGTTGCACAAAACAGGGCACTCTCACAGAGTCACAGAAGTACCGTTTAAAAAAACAGACAACAGTTATTGAGACTTTTCAAGAATTTTCATTGCTTTGGGTCTTGACAATAGAGGGGAGGGTCTGGAGCACAGCAAGGGAGAGTGGCAGAAGGTTACAACTGTAGCAAACCCATTTCAGATGGCTGTTTTCCCTGACAATGCACAGAAGGCCATATCCTCCGACCTTATGCCTCTGTGCCATTTATTGCTGGCTGCTTTGTTTGCTACAATACCAGTGACAAGCACTGGAGCTGACTCCATTGCCATTTGTGCAGGTCTGTGTGAAGAGAGGAGGCTGGTGCTCTCCTCCAGCTGTTGTCACGGGAATGAAATATCAGCAAGTGAATGCCTCATATACTCCACAAACCGGGGAAGTTCATGGCACTGCTTTGATCTTTTCATTATTCTGCAGAGCCATTGCCTGACTATTCAACCTCTGCATGACAGCTTGGATCATTAGAAAGAGGGACATTAATGCATTTAATGTATATATATGATCAGAATGCTGACTGTTGACAAGGTCAAAGCAAAATAATGAAATGCCATAATTAACGAAATATATTGGCTATTAAAATATGATGCCTCATTCTCTTGACAGAGACACTAACAAGAAAAAACGACCTGATTAAAAGTCTTCATGTTCTTGTAAATCAGAAGCACGGTTTTTATGGCCACAGGTTCCAGTGAGCAACACCTCTGGGAGATGCTCTCAGAGGTGTCACGTTGAATTAGAGCTGGGGCACATCGCTGGAAGGACTGCTCTGGCAGTGACCCCTGCTTCAAAGCTACACTGATATGCAGCCCTCTGAATTAAAGTACCTCAGCACAGCTAAAATGAGCCCCGTGTTTGTCTTGCAACAACAAATTAAGGTAGGAATTGGATGTAGCTGAAGCAAAAGATGCATCAGATAAAAGTAGCCAAGAATAAACAGCATCCATTAGATCCCAGGGCAAAAGATTTGGGTTTCTCTGTCTTAATTTACAGCAGCCTGTTTACAGTCTTAGCCCTTCCATAATTCATTCTTCCTAAGTGTAGAAGAGGGAATTCACAACTCATTTCTAGCACACTTTCAATCCTAGAGAGGAGCGGTGCTATGCAATCTGTTATTCTTATTGGCAGTCAGTGGCTTCTGGTATTTTGGCCTAAAAACTGAAAGCCCATTAGAGGGTGTATTGACACCATGGCTACAAATAAATCTTTAAGGCTTGAAATATATTTCTCCAGTCACAGAAGGAGAAGAAGAAAAAAAAAAAGCAGTAAAGTTAGAAGGAGGTTTAACTAATTGATGCTGCTTAATGCATGCTCAGCAACAGCTGGAATAACAGAAAGCTGTGTCTGACTAGGAGCAGCAGATGTTATGAATTTCATCTGGTCAGATCTGATGGCTGGTGGGGAGATCCTGCTCCACATCTGCGAAACAGTCAACAGATTCCACATACCAAATTTCTGGAGCAGGCATTGCAGGGGGGTTAGGGATAGAGGAACACATTTGCTCCATCCAGAACTGTTGACAAGGAAAAATGCATTTCTCAGGCAGCCTTCCAAGTGGAGCAGAAAAACAGGGAGGGTATAGAAACAGTTTATAACTGCCAATAGTGAACATGTCTAAAAATGGCGATTCATGCTCCATCACAATATGTGAATATAAAGTTAGAGATGTGCAATATTAAAATCAGAAACAGTATGGGATTTCTATTATAGTAATTATGCCGCTGCAGTTGCTGGCATGAATGACATTAATTATACTGTACAAAAATGTCTTCTATATCTTACTTTTGTGTTCACAGAAGACTAAGGTAGGTGGGCATAAGCTCCTGATGTTATCAAAACCATGTGGATAATAAGGGCGGATCCAAAAAGTACTTGCATGCAGTTTGGGTGGAATTCAGGCATCTTTGTGTTACAGCAGTGTGTGAAAACCTCCAGCCAGCGTCTGCATCCTAGATACCACGAGAACATCTGGTGTTCCTCCAAGCAAGCCATGGGCAGGAGGACTCATGATCCAGGGTCATACAGCATCTTGCTGGTGAGGGGCTTTGGGCAGGGGTTAGGAAACTGAATTTAGTTCTGCTGTGGGCTCTGATGGCTGGGCACATGCCCTTCCTGAGCCACCAGGCAGGGAGAAATGCCAACAGAGGGAGCAGGAGATGGAGGGGGGCCCTGCCCCATGGCTGGGAGCGGGGAGGCCTAGCTCCAGGGGTTTTTGTGCATTGCACATGCAGGACGGAAAGCTTTGCTCTGTGCTTCTCTCCATGAGCTGATTAAATTACCTGCTGTGCATTTCATTGACTGTGACCAACACTATCCAGCTGACATTTATCCACGATAGCTTGGGTGGGCTGCTGCTAAATCCCACCACGGTGTGCTGTCCTTGCAGCCTGAGAGGTGCTCTTATTGCTACAGGAGGAGGGGAGGAGGTGAACAGGGTGCAGCAGGCAGCAGGGAGCTTCTGAGATCTGCTTTAAGCAATAATAAGAGCTCTGCTCTTCCACTGTTTGCCAGTTTGTTGCAGTCATGTTCATTCAGCCCTGCCTTAATCTTTGTTTCTGTGAGGATCATTGATTTCGGTTTTAGATATAGTGGCACAGGACTGCATAGCAAGGGAAATTGCACAAGGAAGCTGGGAGGAAAGCTTCTTTCAAACAATTTTATAATGAAAATGTAAACAAAATTTGTAAAGCCCTTATGGTCTGCTTTTATTGGGTGATAAAAGTGTAAGAGAAGCAATTTTCTCATTCCAAAGTTGGTCAGAATTAGATATTGATTTTGAACAAAGTACTTTTCACATTTTCCAGCTACTCCTTTTCTGTTCTTGCTGGTTTCTCATGACAGAGGAAACTGCACCTGCCAACAAACAAAAACCCAGTTTCTTTCAATGCCATCTTACACCAGGTTAAAGAGCCCAGTGAATTTCAGCCTCAGTCATCCTAAGCATTAAACTACTAGGAAGCATCCTGTGGACATCTAAGATGAGTTGGAGTTGCTGTTGTCTAATCGTGTTCTGTTTTATGGCTTTTTGTGCTTCTTCGTTTGCTTTGGCTCCATGACTGGCTCTCTGCCACAGGCTTCCTGCATCTCCTGCCCTTTTTTTCCTTCACAATAGCAGCAAACCGGGTCTGAGTTTACCAGAAATCCTTTAGGTCTGAATGAAGACAAGCAAGTTAATGGTGTTAAATACCCCTGCCCACCCACCAGAAAAGAAAAAAAAAAAAAAAAAAAAAAAAAAAAAAAGACGTTTTACATGCAACTCATGATGTGTGTGAAGCCTTCAGAGGTTTGAATATACTCAAAGCCAATCTTCTGCAGGCTCCACACCCCTCTTCCTACCCCATCTGTCTTTTGCTTTAATACCCCTCTGTCCTTCACCTTCCCAGCTGAAAAAACAGTGAAAAAACAACTTGCATAAAGATGCTGACATGTAAAGAATACTGGTAAGCAAGCTTTGCATGTGTTTGTTTTTTTTTTCTTTTTAATTAGTATTAATTTAATTTTTATTTTTTTTTCTCCTGGCCATTAATCAAGCTTCCCCCTCATGATCATGAATGGTTTTTCTAAACAATAGAAAATGTCTTGCTGCAATCGCTTATCCGCCATGTATCCCTCATCCTAACTCTTCACTGCCTTTCTGCTCCCTGACCTGGCTCCACCAGGTTTGCCTGGTGTGCCTGTTTGTTCGTTATTTGTAGTCTGCCTTTCAGCATGAACTCAGTCCTCTTCAAGTCAAATGTTCATCTCCATGAAGTCTGAGTGGACTTCAATCTCCAGGATAAAAGAGAAAAGTACAAGCACAGAAGGGGGGGCACAAGTGAAAAACGGAAGAGGAAAAGGGGTTGCGAGGTGCCTGGCTGTCAGATGCAGCTCTGCATAGCATCATTCAAAGCACCATGGTAAATAAATAGAAGCACATGGGAATTGTCCACAGATATTAAACCAGCACATAGAGCCATCTACTTGTTAAAGAAACATACGGCATACCACAAGTGGCTGGCATGCTTACACCTGCTAAATATTTTTTGGCACTGATGCTGGCTGCCAGCTTGAGGTCAGTTTGACAAATGCATTTATGGAGCCACGTCTCTGCCTTTGACTCTCTGGATCATTTTTCATGCCCACGTAGTAATTGCAGTGAAGCAGTGGAATTTGACAGGTTCATGGTTTGTTGACATGGTGCAAAAAGGGCAAAAAGCCTTCCTTTGGAGAATGGAAACTGGGCACTGATCTTCTACAGTAATTAAATGAGTCCGACTCTAACACTCGAGTTATCCTCTGAAACAAGTTGTTGCTCTAGTTGAAAATATCTAAAACATCAGGCTAAGGCTGAGCAGTTACAACCACGACATTACCAGCCCTCATGAAATTGTTCAAGGACAATCAAAAGTAAATGTTTTATCTGCCTGAATGCAAGTCTTCTATGAAGCAGGAGGGAGCTGACAGCAGCACCTAAGGCTGAAGACACAAGACATGGAGGATGCAGGGAGGCTCTGACCTGAGACAGTCTAGAAGCTTCTTTAGTGAAGTAGCCCCAGTTTCTCCTGCAGCCAGCTGGGTGCTGAGTTCTGGGTGCTAAGCGGCTCCCAAAATTGTCACTAGGTCCCAAATCCATAGTTTGTGGAAATTCCAGCCTAAATGGCAAATACAAGGAAAAACACAGATAAAGTAACAATGCAGGCTGAAATGGCTCGGCATGAGAAGCTTTAAGAAAAATCACAAAAGCAAACAACCTGTGCTTGGCAAAACAAGAATCCAGACTAAAATCCAATGAGCGCCTTGGAACAGGATGGCTACATCAGCATAGAAGTGCACAGGGTGAGCTGTGTGGCTATGTGTGAACAGCAGGAGGGCTGTCCAGAGCTTGGCACAGATGGACCAGGCACACATGTACTGAAGAGAAAGGAGCTGCAGTAGCTGAAATCTCCCCTGCTCACATCGGCATCACTACCATGGCCTGCACAGCCCCCTTCAGCTGCACAGTGCAGCAGTGGTCACTCCATTACAGCGCTCACCCCATTTCTCCCCTTCCCCCTTTCTTCCATCCCCAGCTGGATCTGGCCCTGACGAGGAGAATTAGATTCTTCCAGTCTGATACGGATGCTTAATGTTGAACAACAAAATTATTTTGTTGCGTGAAGGAAATACAGACAAATTCGCTGATAACCAAAATCTCCCTGTTGCTGTCATTGCACTTGAAAATGTCTGCTGTGCAATGAGAAGATGCACTTTATTTAGACTGAATCCATGGCCTAAAAGGAAACAGTAAGCTTTTCAAATTAGTGCCGTTCTTTAAAAGCTCCTCTTTGGTTGTGTTAGAAAAGGACTTCTTCCATAAAAGGAAATTTTCTATATTAATTCTCCAGCTGGTAGTACTTTGATGTCCTCATAAAGATGCTGCTTACATTGAAGAAAGAGAGATTACAGCAGCCCCCCCACCCCCAGAACTGCTTTTATTTTGTTTGAAGAGATGAAATTATTTTGGAGAAGTTGAATTATTTTGGAGAAGTTGAGCTCCGTGACGGAGAGGGGCTAGCTGTGCTTACTGCTGAGCACATTGCCAGCGAGACTCCGTTCCAAGGCCAGTGCGCGCGCATGGATGGCACGAGCAGCTGCTCAGCCACTTTAAGCTAAAATGCTGGCTGTGAGCTGGGGCAAATCACTCTTTCCAGCAACTGTGGAAGAAAGTGGGTGTGGAGGGGATGGGAATATAAGATCTGGTTTGAGCGAGCAACAAGGAGAGCTGCTGCTGCTAGTAAATTGATGTATTCTCACAGTTATTCCAGGCGCTTGGCCATATGTGCTATTCACCATAAAGTGGGCAAGATCACAATTTTGTGGAAAATAGGGTTGAAAATGCCTTGCTATTAAAAACCTCCAGGGATTAAAGCTCCTCATTTTCTTGAGGTACCTTACTGCTCTGCTGCCCTTGCAGCCTAAACATCTACACAATATTTCCTCTACTGCAATTTAATCTCCTTGCTCCTTGTTCACTTCTGGCAGAATACAAGTCAGGGGAATGAAATCAGCCACCACCCTCTTTGTGACGATCTTTGGCACATACATGTATGAAGACTACAGCCTCCATCTCCTTCAGATTTTCCTTCTCTGGACTATGCACTTCCAGTGCTTTCAAATTTTGTTATAGTTTATATTTCCTAGGATATCTTTAATTTAGGGTCCTTCCATCCTTTTCCAAGGGTGGTGCCCAACACAGAGCTACAGCTGAGAGGCTACCAGGGAAGTGGAATAATTATATTAGGTGTTTTACATTAAAACACTCTCCCATCTAAGCATCCCCAACTGATGATTGCTTTTTTCACAGCAGTATAACACTTACCTCAGTTTGTGGTGCGTTATCCAACCCCTCCCACCTTTTGCAGCAGAACTTTTGCCTGCATTTTTTTTTTCCATTTTGCAACAGATTGTTCGTAAACCTATGTCCTTGTTGAATGACATATTACTAATTTAAGACCACTCCTCTGATTTGTCGTGACCCCTTGAAATTACACTTATCTCGCCAGTGTGGTTATAGCCCCTTCTAGACTTTCATCATATGAAAAGTGATGAGTAAATATACAGCCTATACTGGGAAAAATACTGAAGTTCCGCAGATTCAGGATAGACTGTTGCCAAATCTCACAAAATGTAGTCTTCAGCTAGACAAGTAAACCATCAGTGACTACCATCTGACTTCCCCTTTCCAGTGCATTCTGGTGACAACAGTGGGACTCACTCTCACTTAATTATAGCTACCTAAAAACTTGACACTTGGTCAATCCCAATCAAGCAGGCTCTCTTCCATTGCCAATGGAGAGATACCAACATTGGTCTTCAATTTAGATCTAAAGTTACCAGCAAAAATAAATTGCCAGCAAAAAATGCCATTTTCTTTCCCATTACCTAGCCAAACCAGGTAGCTCACATGAGGTATAGTAATTCCCTCCTCTGTGGGCTTCAGTTCTTCTCCTCTGCATAATTTCAGTAATACCATCCCCTCTCTCACTGTCAACCTGAGGCTTTTCACAAGATAGACACTTTTCCACTATGTGTTTGTGTGGTGGCTCTTTGAATACGACTGTAATACTAAGCATAAAAGAAAAGCGTTGGGTTCTGTTCTCCCCACTTACACAATGACTTGAAATTTAAAGCGTTTGAAGAAAATCAAGCCAACAGTTTCTTCTCTATAGTCTCACGCATCCAGACCTACAGAAAGGCCCAACAAAAGCAAAAGTCTTGAACTGTAATTTTAAGGAATGGACTGTTACATTTCTATGCAATGGAAAGGCCCTCTTTGAAGCACACAGGACTTCAAAGCTCATCTATCAGACCCAGATTTTCGGTCCTAACTGAGCTGTCAGATTGATAGTCATAGGACTATCAGATGGAGAGAGAGAAGGCCATCACTGAAGTGGGTGAACTGGAGCACCCTCTTCTGCCTCTGCAGGAGAACTCCATTCCTGGTTTCAGGTTGGCCCACAGTGGCAGATGAAGCAAGGACACCGAATGTATCCTTGAAGGTTTGTTTCAGCAGAAAGAGATGAAAGGGATGTGAATCAGCTCCTAAGCAGCTGCAGTTTACAGTACAGCTTAACAGCATGACCCCAGGTCAGTGGCAGCTTCCCATAACATGCTGGGCTGGGAGCTCCGGTGGTTTAGGAGCTGACTCATGAGCCTTCCCGTCACCCTGCTCTGGGGACAGAGCTCCCTCAAGAAAGATGGACAAACAGCTACAGTGATCAATCTTAACCTGCCGCCGTGGTGCGTCAACACCTCTGAGTCACCCGGAGAGCTGCACTTGTTCTCCCCAAACACTTTGGCACCAAGAGGATGACTTTATCCACACATCTGCCAAGGACAGAGTGCTCTGCACCCTTCCAGGGTCACCCAGACACAGCACAGGAGAACCATGTCGAGCCCTGGTGTGCACTTCTGGTGGGTGGCAGGGGGACACTCTCCTTCCTGAGGTGGCTGAGGTTGATAGGTCTGCACCTCTGGTGAAAAGCTGCCTGGACCCTGTCCTGAAGCTGACAGATTTCTCCAGGAGTTTATATAACCGTGCTTGCTCTGCCCAGCCATGTGTAAGATGGTGTGTGATATAAACGTTCTTGCTCAAGACCTTTCTCTTTATTAAACAAGCAATGTTTGCTCGTCCTGGGTCACTGCTGCGGAACTTGTACCAGCCAAATCTCCAGGCAGTGGGAGACCGCAAGTATAAAAGCACAGTCTGGCATTCAATTATAAAATGCAATATTCTTTGCCTCGTTAGCTGTGACTCTTTCTATAAATCACCACAAAAGAACAGATAACCCAGCGTGATCATCCAACACTCTGGCACCACAGTCCTTCCCATTCTCCATCCCTGTCTTTGTCTACTGCCTCAGTCCCTTTTTGCATGATGGAAAGGGGAGGCTGAGAGCATCCTCCTGAGTTATTGAGTCCCAGTCTTCTCCAGCCACAGTTCAAAAAGGTCCACAACAGAGGTATGTCTTGGAAAACACATTGCACTGCACAAAAAATCAGTGCAAAAGGCCCAGGCACTAGAGTTTCACAGAAAGAGCAGGGGACAGTAAGGCCCCGAGGGACTCATCCACGTCCCTCTGTTGCCAGCTGAACAAGGAGCAACAACCAAAAACTACCTAGGAAACTAGTGCCTCTAAAGGCAGTCGCTTGTTATCTGAGCTCCTGCAACACATGGTTACTGCAGCCAGAAGGATGAGTGCCCAGCTATTTGCCCCTTCCAGATCTCAGACCCTGTATGTGAAGAACAGCTTGCATCATGCCACTGGTACTAAGGCTTCCTCATACTGGGAGGATGGAGCAGGGCAGGGAGGGGAGGAAAGGAGGAAGCTGAAGAGTAACAAATATTTACAGGGTCATCTTAGTTCCAGACTGGAGAAAGGCTGCCTTGAATCTAGGGAAGAGCTAGGGTGTGGAAGAGAATTTTCATTTTACACAAATTATATCTGGATCCTTACCTGGTCCTTTATTTTATTTTATTTTTTAAGTGTCTATTATAGAAACAGGATTTGTCTATTATTTCTACTGTCATGCAGGATAATAGAGTTTCAGACAGTGACAGGAAGATTTGCTCATATGATGCCCATGTCTCTTCCAATGTTTGAGCGATTTGGGTAGGAGAATAGAACAGAGATGCCACAGAACAATGATGAAGAGTCATTTCTTACTCCTTTGCTTCTCACACAGGATTATATTAACCAGAATAATTACATACATTAAGAAATATAGCTTTGCTATGAAAGAAAGGGATGTTGTATGCCTCTGCAATAGGTTTCGCACGACTTCCCTGTGTGGGGAGGTAATGTGTGCCATATCCAGCTCAACCCCAACACTTAGTGCAGGCCCCATTACAGACCTTTTGCATTATCATCTTACACTCGTAGGCTTTTGTGACCTGAAATAATGAGGGAAAATCAGTAAAAAAATGAATAGGTACCATCCTCTTTGCATAAAACCGGGTGGGAAAATGTAAATCTATTCTCTCACATAGTATAAGTTAGCTAAGATTACAGAGAAATGAAAAGCAATGTATCCAATGTCTAGAGTGAGCCTTTTCAGGACAGCACCTTTTATTAGTAATCCTTCTCTCCATACAAACTGCCCTTCTTCTCCCTTACATGCTTTCTGTCTCCTCACACCTGCTATTTTCAAGGTCAGGATAATGGATTGCACATCCCCAAGGAACTAGCAAAATGGGTACAGAGCATTTTTCTTGCCAGGAGGAATGAGCTCAGCCCAGACATTGTTTACACAGACAGACCTCCCCAAACACTCGCACTCTGCATTACGTTTTTCTGAATGCAAACCCTCACCAACTCACCTGCAGGTTTATCAGATGATATGAGTGATTTCATCATACTGTAATGTATCAGCTTAATGCAATACACCCCTTGCAGATGCCTTCTGAGAGTGCGCACCACTGCTTCATAAATAATACCGGTAACGATGTCAATGATGGTCAGCGGGACGAACATTTGCATTCTGCCCCAGTTTTAAGTAACAGAGGCCTATTTTCAAGATGAGTCAACTCACTTTATGCCAAGAACAGTTGGCAGCAGTGCTACTAAAGCATGTATGTTGCCACATTGTGTTCAGTCATTTTAGTTTTGCAATCATAGAGCCAAACAACAGGATGTGATTTAATGCACCTTTCAGTAAAACTCAGGCTAGTTTTTGCTATTAATGAGCACCAGAGGCTGTTGGCTATCCAACAATATAGTGACCTTGAAACAGAGTTCAGATTATTTTAGAAAAAAAAAAAAATCCAAGAACAGCAATCAGCCCTTCTATGAAATTTTTAAGTAATTCAATAAAGACCGAGTGGCTACAGACATCAAGATGGAATTAGTAGCCTATTCGCCTCCCTGAAACAACCTTAAACTTCCATTGTACCTGAGCACCTATGAAGTATGTAAGCTATGGACAATGATAAAACAAGAACTAGCACTCTTCATCTCCGAAGGTCTGTATTTATATCAGGCCCTATTCTGCCTCCTCACTGAAGCTGGGAAATTTGCTGGAAGGGATCATGAGCTAAACTATTTTTACAGTGAAGTTATTACGTGAGCAAGTAAGGCTGTTAGAAAATGATTGTCCAAATTATTTGCATTGCATTTTTTGGTGAAGGAAAGGAAAAAGGGAATGAACGTGAAGGGAAGGAAAAAGGGAAGGGAACTGGTATCACAGGAAAAGGTCATTTGTCCAGTTGCTTATCCTTCTTTCCTAGGCTGCTATTGGAGGCAGAACGGGGTAGATGATAAGGACGTGTCAGCCTTTCTTATGGTTAGGACTGGCTCCAAAGTTGTCTTGCTCGTTCCCCTCACTGCTAAACCATAGTGCTACTCAGAAAAGCTGGGCATTATTGACTGAGAAAAGGCTTGCTGTGAATAACAACAAGAATTTTTCCAGACAGGTAGGATGTTATTGTGCCTGCAGACATAAACCTTTTCTTCTACTCTGTACTCCAGGGACTGTTCACTTGCCTGCACACATTTCACCTGGCTGACACTTTGCATATGAATAGCTGGAACTGAGGACAGTTTGATTCAGCAGAAACAATTTCTACCTCTGTAAAGAAGCCGCAGCCAACACTCACATGTAGTCTCTATTGTGGTCATTTAATGAGCTAAATAAATGTTTCCTAGGTTTGACCTTGTTTTGCTTTTATTATTCTAGGAGAAACAGTTTTGCTTCCCTATCTCAGAACTGCTTGAGTCACAGCCGTAACCTTTCCTTGACTTCACTTCTATCAACGGGCTTGTCTCTGTATAGGCGGAGTGATCAGAAGCTGCTGTGATTTAGCTTTGGCTATCCCCTGATATAAATTAAGACTGTGCTTAATACATAGCGAAGGAGATGGCTTTTGGACAGCTTTTCAATTTTCAGAGGTTTGGTTTTAATTGTTTTTGTTTTTAATTCTATTTACATTTCCCCTCCATTCTCCCCAGAATGTTACCATAGGGAAATGTGAAAACTAGTCAGCAGTTTGTCATTTACTCAGTGAAATACCAACAGGAGACTTCTCTCTTGTACAGGTGCTCTGTACACCAGGGGAATTCAAATGCTGCCTCTGCAGAAGTCCAAGCTAGTGCCAACCTGACAGCATCCTCCCTGTCACGCACAGTGGTGGTACAGGAATGCCATTAAGCAGCCGGAGAGCTAAATTTCCTCTGAGAATGAAGAAACAATAAGCAGAAGCAGGTCTTTTTCCTGCCCAAAGTTTACTGAAATCATGCAAAGAACTCATCACTTTGAAATATGAAAGAAACTCCATGTCCTTTTCAGCAGGACAAACTCAATTGGACAGGAAAAAAAAATAAATAAATAATAAAAAAAAAAAGAACAGCTGCTTTTTCAAAGAGACAGACGACCTTATGGTGTAATTTTCACACTCAGTCGATCAAAGCTTGTGGTGTGATTCATTGACCATGAGAATGAAACTAGACGAGAGACATTGTTAAAAGGTCATTCCCTCCTATTGATACAAGAGGCTTAAGTAAAATATTACAGGAGCACATGCGCTTCCTTCAAGAGATCCTGTCTGCACCTCCACTTGCAGTCAAAAAAAAAAAAAATTAGAAGATAAACAAGCAAACATTGAGCAACAACATGCAGCACCATGGAGAAACAATAGTTTCTCCTGCCCCTGTGGTCATCAATACATGTTTCCTATCCCTGAGCTTTTGCTAAAAAGATTGGACCTGGCCAGTAAAGCCAATGAGAACGTGTGTGTTGATTACAACAGACGGGCCTGTTGTGAAGGAGGATGGACAACAGCTGAACAGAGATGACAGCTACAGCTTATAAGAGCAGGTGTGGGGATTTAGCTTCAACTGTTTCCATTAGCCTCATTTAAGCCAATATTCCCAAGCCTGGGGACCTATAAATACGATAAAGGAATGAAATTCCCTCTGGGTGAATGTGCAAGTACAGGCCAGAAAACTTATTCAGTGTGTAATGATGCTTCTTTCTTCTTCACCCCAGGTAGCATGGGTAGGACCAGAGCAGCCCCTGCCCTTATGGCTTTGAGTCCAGGAGGGGGACTTCATCTCCCCTGAGTAGAAAGTGCAAGGAAGCAGTATTTTTAGGGACCATCTCCATGGAGAAAGTGATCACACTCCTATTTTCTCCCCAGTTACAATTCTGTGCTGACTGGCAGGCCACCGATTGTCAGGAAGAGAAACAACTTGAGAAAGGGAGCTCCTTAGGAACAGGGCTTAGGGCAAAGAGTTGGTGTGAGGCCACGAGCTGAGGAGCAGAAGGAACCATCCACATACACAGAGGGACCTGCAGCCTGGAGGCGAGGGTCTGTGCAGAAGGAATATAGTCTGCTATTTCATGCAGGAATGCGATGCACCACTGGTGGTGGCAGCCCCTTTTTGAGGGGACCACCCCACGACACTGCGGCAGTGGGATATCCTTTAGCAGTTAGGTGTCGGCACGTTCCTGGCTATTTAATCAATGCCGAAAAACTGGCTGACCTCTGCGGTGCTGAGTAAACAGGTGGCTGACTTCAAGAGAGGCTGCTCAGCTCTTGCATTCACCTACAGGAAACAGATGGGCCAAAAGATCCTAATCCCCTGCCCTATTGTTGTCATCTGTTTGCATCTTTCTCCAGCCCATGTCAGGTCACCGTTCTCAATGGGCTGCTGAGAAAACTCCCTCTGCAGTCTCTGTTTTGTACACTAATGAGTCCCTTTCACAAGCTCCAGCCAGGCGTGCAAACACCCCTTCTATCAATAAACCAGCAGTTGGTTGGGTTGAAGAGAAGTTTTGAGTGAAATTTTCTTCCTGTACAGAATCCACCAGTTTGGGTACACAAACGCACTCAATGGTTTTGATTTTATGAAATTGGTTTGGTTTGGAAAAGTAAAGCCATAACACAATTGCCCCTCTAAACTGTCCTCGACTTCTTTCATTTTCACAGTTTTTGAAAGAAGTTGTTTTCCTTTTCGGATTAAAATGGCATTTCATGAAAAAAATGCATATGATTAAAAATACAGAAAGGAGAGCTTAAAAGCAAAATTAACTACATTTTTTTCCAGCTTTATGGAACTCCTTCCCAGCTGTACTGGTTATCCATACATCCCTTCCTCCTCTTACTCTAAACCACCTCTGCAATTTCACTGCGCAATGTTCACAAGCAGGAAGGAAGGTAGACTGTTTCTCCATGCAGCATACTCATATATTACCCTGGCTTGATTCATCCGGAATTACCCTTGTTTGACTCTCCTGCAAGTCTGTTGACTTTGACTGAGTAGAGATTTATATAATTTCCTCATGGGAACTTTGAGAGCTGATAATGCGTTGCCCTGAGTGTCATTTCCCTATGGTATTTCCACAGAAGAATAAATCTGGATATGCTACTGCATATTACAGCACCTGATGTTTTTTATATTCATCCTTGTTTCAGGCAAAGAAACACATAATAGAAGATATATCTACAATTATTGCTTGGCTATGGCAACAAGGGAAAAACACTTGGATCCCCATCTCCTTTCCTTATCTCCACCAAAGATGAAAGAAACATTAATCAAACTAGTTGATGAAATCTTCCCTTTCTATTTGGTGCCAGGAAAAATGCAAGTAAGCTTCATGTGGCTAGATGCAGCCACACATCTCTCACAGGCTGTAATGTTCATACAACACTCATAATATTACGTTCCTCTATGCTCTGGACAGGACTGGTGTTCTGTGTTATACAGGGTGCTCGTTACATCACATACAAATGCCAGAAGTTGGGATCAGAAGCTTCGTGATGCAAAGATGCAGGAAGGTGAAATGATTTTTTGCTTGGTGAAGGCAGGTAGTAGAGTAGCTATGGATCTGATGAATCTGATGAATTCATGACTTACACAGCCTTAGGAAAATAAAGTAAAGTTTCTGTTTCTAAAATCTTGTTTAAAGTCCTTTTGAAGTGTCTCTTTTTAAGTAAATAACAACACGGAGTGGGAAGCCCTTCTGTAGGGGCACAACATGCTGGAAGGAGCTAGGCATCTGTGTTTTCCAGAGCTTGGCCCACGCCCTGTTTCTCCCAGCTGTACATCAGGAACAGAAGACTTTAACTCAAGGCCAGGGTGCCACAATGTCTTGTGCAAGAGCTAAGAACCGGTACTTCACTAGGTGTGGTGGGAGGTTGCATGCCTGGAGGTGCTAGTAAAATTGGGGCCAGTAAGTGACAGAATAAGCTCCTTTCTACATCTCTCATCTCTCTGTCATCTTTAAAGCCATCATATAGCAAGACAGCCTGCAAACATTGCAATTTTCCTGCTATTAGCAATGTTGTCCAATAGTTGATATTTCATACCATGGGTTTTGTGTTTTTGCTCATGCCTTAAGAAAATTAACTGTTCAGAGCCTGACATACATTTTCACAGGGAAAAAGGTTACCAAATTCATGAAGTGCTGTTTTACGCTGCTACAGTGGGAAGCAAGCCCTGGCAACCAAAGCACAGAGCTTTTCTAACACAG